CAGGTTCTCATGCTTGGTAGACTTACACTGGCTTGTAGGCTTTGTGTAAGCATCCTGAAGAATGGGAGAAATACAGTGGATTGCAGAGGAGACTAGAGGTGTTGGCAACCAGGAGTAAGTGGCTATCTTTGGGAGCTTGCCCCCATTCAGAAAGATGGTAAAGATATTGAAGGCTTAGGTAAATCTAAAAATGAAAGGGAGAGAAGGCAAAGCAGTTCATGTTCAATGGTCTTTTTTTCTCTGGCGGAAATTAAAGGCTATGGTTATCTGCAAAACACTGTGGGTTGTGGGAATACGGTTGAGCACATAGAGCAGCAACAGCTGTGGAGTATGGAAAAGGGAGCTGATTAAGGAACGAATAAAGATTATTGTAATGTTAATCTAACTAAAGTTAGATAATGTATTTATAATAGTTATGTGATTTTTCTTTTGTAGCTCCAGGCAGTGGGAATTGAAGGAAGTAAACATTTCAGTTGAATTGGATTGACAAGAGACATTCTAGAGATGCAGAAAGTAAAGGGTGTTTGTTGGAGTATGGTCAGAACAATCGACTGTATAGTTCTGGCAGATAGGAAGGAAGGGAGTCTTGGGAGCTTGTATAGAGTGGAAAAGCAAGGAGGAGTGGTAAGCAGGAGGATACAGCCAGAGATGAAAAAACACATTTAATAAGGGTGGGAGAAATGAAATGATTGATGGTAGTGGTAAGAGGGGAATTTTTTTTTTTTAAAAAAATATATCTTTATTGATTTCAGAGAGAGGAAAGGAGAGGGAGAGATAGAAACATCCATGATGAGAGAGTCATTGATCGGCTGCCTCCTGCACGCCCTCGACTGGGGATAGAGCCCGCAGCCCGGGCATGTGCCCTGACCGGGAATTGAACCCCGATCGCCTGGAACCCAGGTCGACGCTCAAGCGCTGAGCCACGCCCCTGGGCAAGAGGGGAATTTTTATAGTTCAGAATTTTAGAGGCGATACAATTCCAAGTGATGACAGTATCCAGACTGTTTCACAGGGAATGGGTTGCTAAATTAAATAGAGGTGAATTTCCTCAGAATAGATGAGGTCATGTGACCACTTAGGTTCTGGTGCTGAATATTGAACTAATTGGGATGAAGACAAAAGTCATGGTAGAGAGGCCCGGCCAGGCGTGACTCAGCGGTTGAGCGTCCACCTAGGATATAGGCGATCGGGGTTTGATTTCCGGTCAGGGCACATGTCCGGGTTGCGGGCTTGATCAATGACTCTCTCATCATTGATGTTTCTATCTATCTCTCCCCCGCTCCTTTCCTCTCTCTGAAATTAATAAAGATATATTTTTAAAAAAAGTCATGGTAGAGAGAAAAACTGACATTGATGTCTATATCCTTAGAGAGTGAAGGTGTGCAGAAAGAGTTAACATTGCAGGCTTAAGTCTGCTATTCTTAGAAAGGCTTGCTTGCGGTGTTGGCTCTTGGCTAGTGTCTGGGAACTTGGAACTTGGGACGGTTCTCAGTATTCCCAGAATTAATAGGAATGCCTCACTGTGCCTGAACTGTACAATGTGGTTTATACTGAACACCTGCTTTCCTTCTGGGAGTTTGCAATTTTGGTACATGCTAAGTAGAGTGTGCCTATGTGACCAAAGCACTGAGTAAAGAGCTTTCCAGGTAGACAGCATTGTATACATGTTGTCAAAACTAGTTACAGTAAAACCTCAATATAATGGACTAATTCAGGTGCGGGGGTATCTGTTAAAGCCGAAAGTCCATTATATAATAAAGTAGGTTTTCCAAATGCATATGTTAAAAAATTGACAAATTAGTTTACGTTGTTTTACTTATGTAGACATGCTTGTGTAATTAAAATTAAGGATGTATGAAAAGTTTAATTTTACAGAAAGTTTTTGATATGTATTACTGTAATTTTAAATTTATACTGAATAGGTCTAGTAAATGCATGCTTTCACCAGTCACAGTGAGTCAACAAATGCACATGGCTGGGGCATGGTTTAGCACATATCGCCACATCGAGTTAAAACTGCTGCAGAAAGTCACCCCAGGGGACAACAGAACCAATTAGCATGCTCCATGCGGTGTGATCACATGCCAATGATTTGCCCAACATTGTTTATGAGCTGCGACTCTTGGATTTAAATATGTAGACTACAGTTATAGATATGTAATATTTGTTTATGTTGGCGAAATTACTGCAGTGTTTTTTCTAACATATGACTTAATCGCTAAAATTTGTTAAAAATAGCAGTGAATTAAAAACAACCCCCCCCCCCAAACTGTTAATTTAATTATAAGCATATCTTGGTTAAAAGCATTTTAAAATTAACAGGGTGTTAACTTTTGAATATGACATATGGACCAGAAATTTTGTCCATTACATCTGAAGTTTGTTAAATTGAGGTCTGCAAAATCAAGGGTTTACTGTAGTGGAGGAATTAAGCACATCCCGTGTGTCTTCACTGAGAAGAGAACCTTGCAAGCTTGCTTCTGGTTTCCTCTGTACTTCACCCGATGTTGTCTTTTTCTTTTGCTGCTTTTCCTTTGTCTCCTTTTGCTGTAATAAATCTAGCTGTGAGTACAACTATATGCTGAATCCTGTGAATCCTCCTAATCAATCATAGAAGCTGAGGTTGGTCTTGTGGACCCCAACACAGAGGGAGTGATCTGGAAGGCTGAAAATGACAGTTTGGACTTGGAACAATGTGCTATATAAATCAGAATCAATGGGCATTAGAGGAAGAGGGAACAATGGTGTGGAAGACTGCTATGAGGAGTTAATGAAATAGGACATTTTTTGGTTTGGAAATTGATTAATTTATTCAGCAAGTATAATGGGCTCATTTATGAATAAAATTTTTAAATGTTTTAGATATCTTAGTTCTATTGTCTAATCCAAAATATCGATAAATGTAAACCACATAAACTTAAAAGGTCGTTGAGGTCCTCAAGGATTTAAAAGAGTAAAGAGATCCTGACACCAAACGTTTAAATATCCCTGTAGCAGAGTACTATATTCCAAATGGAGATGAGGAAAGGTGTTTGATAATCATTGCTCATTCTGCCTATAGTCATATTACTGTAGGTCATCTTTCCTGAGACATTATTTTGGGGATGAGATGAAGGAAGAGGAAGAATTACTATCTGTCTCTAAGATACAACTTAACAAAATGTATGTATGACTGAAGAGGAAATGAGTGCTGAAAGAATGTCCTTGGAACTACCAGTTCTTAACTTGGAAAAATAACTGCTAAGCCTGACTTGAAGCTCTGCTTGTATGAACAGCAGAGCAGTTAGTGCATAGTGCTCCCTGGGCAAAGCAGCACTCAGCCACTTAGCCAAGTAAGGAAGTATCCAAACTCTGGAAAGAAAGGAAATTAGGGTTTAAACTCATACTGGACTGCTCTCTCCAGCTTAGCATATAACTAGCAAACTATAGTTATTTGATAAAATAATTTAATCTGTTTTAAATATTTAATTGCTGGGGATGTAAGGAAGACATTTCTCTTTGGGAGAGGTGGAGGTATCTGTTGCTTTTCTAGAAAATTTCAAATTCCCCCAACCCCCCATCCCGTCTATTTTCTCTATTCTCTCTATCCTCTCTCCTATTTGTATTCCCTTGGCTTGGCCAGACTCTACCATTCCTAATTGCCTTCACACAGCCCACATCATTCATTTTGGTTTCCCTGTCCAGCTCCACTTGATGGTTGAATAAGAAATCCCTAACCTAGCCAGCTGTTTAATACAGAATATTTCAGGGGATCCCTCTTACCAGTGCCAGCTACCCAATGAGCAGTATTGTCTATTTAAGATTTGCCTTGCTGGGCGTGGCTCAGCAGTTGAGCATCGACCTAGGATCCAGGCGATCAGTGATCGATTCCCGGCNTTCACATAAGTTCTTAAGAAAGAATAAAATACTCAGACATATTGGCAATAGCAGATCACTCTGAAAATAAAAACTGAGATTCTTAAATATGATGACTTTTGTTGGATCCTGAAAACAAAATTTTTTTCCAGTTTTGTTGATATATAATTGACACATACTATTGTATTAAAGTGTACCACATAATGGTTTGATACCTGTATATACAGTGAATCTTAGGGGTTCTCATCATAGGAAAAAAATTTTTGTAACTATGAGAGGTGATAAATGTTAACTAAATTCATTTTGGCAATCATTTCACAGTATATACAGGTATCAAACCATTATGTGGTACACTTTAATACAATAGTATGTGTCAATTATATATCAACAAAACTGGAAAAAAATTTTGTTTTCAGGATCCAACAAAAGTCATCATATTTAAGAATCTCAGTTTTTATTTTCAGAGTGATCTGCTATTGCCAATATGTCTGAGTATTTTATTCTTTCTTAAGAACTTATGTGAAGAAATAGTCATGTTCCCAATCAATTCTCATGATCTTTTCAGGCATTTGAACATAAGGATATTAAAATGCACTACTTCGGTTTCATTTCTTTGGGCGTATTATAGCAAATGTCTTAAAATTTGAAAATTTAAGTAGCCAGGCCAGCTAACATTGTTCTAGGTGTTTTTAGCATTCTCTGGCTGTAATAGCAGTGTAGATTTCAGAAAGTGCTAACCAGTTTGCATTTTTAGACATGTTACTGCTATATTGAGTGTTAACAAATGCTCTTAACCTAAAGAGTAATTAATAGAGATTTTTGCTTTCTGTTACTTAGTTGGAAGAACCTTAGTAATTTTGACAAAATTGAACATTGTGTAGTTTTTCATTACATTAATATTTTGGTTTGGAAACATAACCCCAAAGAAGTCATTTTCAGCCTCTTATTATATAAACTTTTTGAGTCAGCTGCTAAAATTGCTTGTTACATTTTATAAATTACTAATTACAGTGTTTTTGTGCCTCAAACTTCCATTGTTATTCTGTATTTGAAGTTGCTATTTACTTGACCGTTGATTAAGTTAAATGGTCTATTTCGTGTAACAGTGACATGCAATAACATATTTTTCCCCTTTTTTTAAATAGATTTGGACTGAGCAACAAATTTGAATCAGAATTCCCTTCTTCATTAACTGGAAAAGTGAGTGTCTGTTAATTATTTAGATACTATTTTTACACCTCAAAACTAAAGTCTTTTCCTAACAAATTAGGAAAAAGATTTATGCTAATGATAACATGTTTATTGACATTAATATTGCAATGTTGTTATTTCTTAAATTTTTTTCTTTAGGTAGCTCCTGAAGAATTTAAAGCCAGCATCAACAGAGTTAACAGTTGTCTTAAGAAGAACCTTCCTGTTAATGTACGTTGGCTACTTTGTGGCTGCCTTTGTTGCTGCTGCACATTAGGTTGCAGTATGTGGCCAGTTATTTGTCTCAGTAAAAGAGTAAGTTGAATTATATATTTTAATTTTAATTTAGAAGTAGACAAGCAAGTCGTGCATTTATCTGTTTTTATTTTTTTGTATTGAATGTGTCACACTGTCCTGAATACTATGCAGAAATAACCTGATCCAGAGAGGAGTGATTAACTAAATTATGGTATGCTCATATGCTGTTTATATTAAATAGCCATCTAAAAAAATTATATTTATAATTTTTACCTCATAGGAAATTACTTGAGAGTAGAGTAGAGTACAGCATTCTCTATATGTACATTTTGATGGTGGCAAAGGATAATGATCTAACTGGCTTATTTCGCTTAGCGTAATGCTCTCTGGGTCCATTCATGCTTTCACAAAAGGTAAGATTTCCTTTCTTTTTACAGCTGAGTGGTATTACATTGTGTAAATTTACCAGAGCTTTTTTACCCATTATTTGAGATCCTCTGTTTTTCACTTTTTAAATGAGGAAACAAGATATTGCGATGTGTGCACAGTATAGGGTTTAGAAAACAAAAAGTAACCTTCATATTCTTCTCCACACATTTTTAGTAACTTAAGATCAATTTTCATGAAACTTTTTTATTTGAGACGTAAGGTAGATTGATATTTTTAGGCTTTTCCCATTTGTAGTTTCAGAAAGTACATTTCATTTAGCATTGTAGTATTTAAGTTATTATATATGTGGCTAGATGCAATGTTTATTTGATACATTTAATTTTATATGGACTGTACTATCTGTTAAGCACAAACAGTTATGGTTACTGCTTTAAAAAAAGCTATGCATTTCCCTGTTCCAGGTATAAAGTATATAACCATAGAGAGGGTGACACTTCATGCGTGTATGAAAGGTATTAGAGACTCTGAAAAAGGAGTGCTTTGTAAGATGGAGGCAGGGTAATTTAGAGTAGGGATTTTTATTTTTAACCTTTTATTTGTCATGGATACCTTTGGTAGTCTGGGGAAGCTTATGAATCATTTCTTAGAATAATGTTTTATTTGTATTTTAAAAGATTTAATGTATTAGTAGTATTTTTTTAATCCTCATCCAAGGATATTTTTTCCGTCACTTTTCAGAGAGAGTGGAAGAGGGAGAGAGAGAGAGGGAAACATCAGTGTGAGAGAGACATATTGATTGGTTGTCTCCCGCACATGCCTCGACTGGGGCTGGGGATTGAGCCTGCAACCGAGGTTCGTGCCCTTGGCCAAAATTGAACCTGGGATCCTTCCCTCTGAGGGCCGGCGCTTTAACCTCTGAGCAAAACCAACTAGGGCTATAATAGGTTTTAAAATAGGGTAGTGCTAGCTTTGTACTCCTTTTTTTTTTCAAAATTGTTTTGCGTTTCTAGATTGTTTGTATTCCATGTGAATTTTAGAATTAGATTGTCAATTTGTACCAAAAAAAATCCTTTTGGGATTTTAGTTTGAATTGCATTGAATCTATGGATCAGTTTGGGGAAATTGGCATCTTAAAAATACTTAATCTTCTGACTCATGAAACAATATCTCCCATCGTTTTCTTAAGTCTTTAAAGTTTTTTCCTTGAGCAGTGTTTTGTAGTTTTAGTGTACATGTCTTGTATATCTTTTTTTAGATTTACCATAAGTATTTATTGTTTATGCTATTTTAAATGGTATATATTTACAAATTTTCAATTATTTTTCCTTTTTAGGGTATAACTTTGTTAATTCGTTTCATTAACTTTTTTGTAGAGTCCTGAAATTCTTCATAGACAGTCATATCATCTGCAATGAAGACATTATTCTTGTTCTAATCTGCATGCTTTCTGTTGCTTTTTCGTGCTTTACTGCACTCACTAGACTATTCAGAAAACATCGATTAGCAGTTGTGAGAACAGGTATCTTTGTCTTGCTCCTGATCTTGGTGGGAATACATTCACACTTTCATATTTCTGTATCATGTTAATTGTAGGGATTTTGTAGACACCTTTTTTTAGCTTGTGGAAGTTTTATCCTAGTAGCTTGTGGAGAGTTTTATCAGTAATAGATGCTGACCTTCTTTATCTGCAATGATATTTTTTTCTCTGAAATCTACTTTGCCTAATAGTAATATAGTCATTCCAACATTCTTTTGATTAATGTTAGCATGGCGTATTTTTTCCATTTTTTCACTTTTAACTTATTTATGCCTTTTATTTAAAGTTCATTTTTATAGGCAGTTTTGGGTCTTGCTTTTTTATTCAGTCTGACAATTTTTGCCTTTTAATTAAGGATGTTGGACCATTTATATTTACTGTGATTATTGATATGGCTAAATTTAAGTCTTTCATTTTGCTTTTTGTTTTCTTTTTTCCTTCATTCTTAGTTTCCATTTTTCCTCATTTTCTGTCTTCTTATATTAAAAAAGAATTTATTGAGGTGACATTCACATAACAGAAAATTAACCACGATAAAGTGAACAATTTATTGGCACTTAGTACATTCACAGTGTTGTGTAACTGTCACCTTGTTCTCAAACAGTTCCATCAGTCCAAAGTAAAATCCCTTATCCATTAATCAGTTTCTCTTTATTACCCTCTCCCTCCAGCCCCTGGCTACCACTAGCCTACGTTCTGTCTTTATGGATTTATTTATTTTGGATATTTTGTATAAATGGAGTCATACATTATATGACCTTTTGTGTCTGGCTTCTTTCACTTAGCATAATGTTTTTGAGGTTCTTCTATGTTATAGCATGTATCAATACTTAATTATTTTTTATTACTGAATAATATTCCACTGTATGTATATACCAGTTTGTTTATTCATTCATCCATTGATGGGCTGTTTCCACCCAAAGGGTGACTACTACTGCTATGAACATGGATGTACATATATTCGTTTAATACTTGTTTTCAGTTCTTTCGGGTATACACTAGGAGTGTGGGGTTATAAGATAATTCTGTACAGTTATTTAACTTTTGAGGAACCAGAGCAGTGTTTAGGCTAGGACTAGTTACTCACTACTAGTGAGGCAAGACCCTCTTGGAAACTGTACTCAGTGGCCTGTGAATTATAATGTTTTCTAGCCTGGCTGATGGAAAGAGGCATTGTGCCAAATTTTTGTGAGCTTTGGGCACTGTTATCTCTAATTCTTCCTAATAGTTCTTTGCTCCACCTCTAGTAGTTTCCTTACTTGTATGTGCTGCTCTGTATACTCACCAAAATACTCAGTAAGGACTATGTTCAGATCTTTGGAGTTCATTATCTTTTTAGCACTCTCTTCTTTGGTAATCTGTTCTGTGGTTTCTAGCTGACCTGGTCTCCCTAGACTCTCAGAGTCCTTACCTCAGGGAGTCACCAGGTTTTGTCTGGGCTCTCCCTCCATTCACTGCCACCTGGAGCTCTCTTAATAAGCTTGGGAATCATAGGGCCCATCTGATTTGTTTCTGGTTTCTCAGGAATCATTGTCTTTCATTTCCCATTGTACATTGTCTTAAAAACCTGTGTCATATGTTTTTGTCACTTTTTTGTTGTTGTTGTTTCAGGCCAGAGGTAAATCTGGTACCTAATGCTGCATCTTTGCTGAAAACAAATCTGAATGTTTTTTTTTTTTTTTTTAATGGAAGTGTTCTTGACATATAAGTACTATGGTAGGTGATAGGAATAGAAATATGTGTATTAATACTCTATTCAAAGAGCGTATAATCTATAGATAGTTTGTAAGTATTTGTCATGTTTTTCATGAAGCTTCTAATATCAGAAGACAATGAATATGTGTCCTTAGGGTCTAGAAATATGAAGTGGCCACTTATAATCACAAAATATATTTGAGGGAGGGAGGTGGAGAGAGAGAAAGAGAAACATCACTGTGAGAGAGACATATCAATTGGTTGCCTCTTACAACTCAGGTATGTGCCCTTGACTGGGAATCGAACACTTGACCCTTCAGTGGGCAGGTTGACACTCTAACCACTGAGTCACACCGCCCAGGGCTAGCTGCCATTTCTTTATGCTGCTAGTGTACCATTCGCTGGAAGTTACTTATTCATTAATTCAATTAATATTTCTGAAGCTGCACTGTGGACTTGGTACTGTTTTAGATGCCATCTAGATGACAGATGCTGTTTAGAGGTTATGAGGTTCCTCTTGTGGACTTAAAAGGTAGATAAAAAGCAATGAGATGATTAGAAATAGTGGTAAGTGCTTGGAAGACAATAAAACAGGAACCTCAGCCTTTCAGTAGGTTCTTTGTAAGAGCCTGGGGAGCCTACAAGTGAATAAAATGCTCCAGCTTCATGAAATAGATTTTGACATTTACTTTTTGTTTTGTCTATAATTTTGTTTATATTTTGCTTCTTGATTGTGTCTTAATTGTAGCATTATAGTTAAAAAAATTGATGTCCAAGTAAGTCAACTCTCTATGACTTGTATGTGCTTTCAGCCTGGCTCATTTTTTGAGGAAACAAGTGTCATAATTTTACTATATGTTGTGTTAAAGTATTTTGTTTTGTTTTGTTTTCCATCCTAAAGTAACTATTGGTTTTAGTTTTCTGAGATTTTACATATATATATTATATCCCAACATTAATGACTTTATAAACTTTGTTTATATATGTTCTCAGCCATATCCCTTGTGACTGAAGAACCCTAAATTTTTGACTTTATACACCAACTTCTTAATCTTAATAGTTGTTTTTTCTCCTTTCTTAGTGCTTTACTATTTTACATATGATGATTGGAATTATGTGGCTTTCTAAAAGTGTTCTATATGCATTTTTTTATAAATAGTGTGCATTTCTATTCCCCTTAAACTCATTCACTTAGGTATAGGGAAGTAGGCTGCCACATGTGGTAGCTGGGACCTGCACTTTGGCACTAGAAAGAACTGGTTTGGAAAATAGTACTCAACTCTGAATGACTGATTAATTCACTCTGTAAACCTCAGTCTTTACCTCTCTAAAATGGGGTTAATATCTTCCTTGCAGTGTTGTTTGTTGTAAGGATTAGAGCAAGTACTTAGTATTTTGCCTGTAGTAGGTACTTAGTTAATGGCAGTTGCTGTTA